GTGTGTGTGTGTGTGTGTGTGTATATATATATATATATATATATATGTGAATGTGCCTGTGCATACATTTATGTGTGTAATGCCCTAGTCCATATGCCACTGTTACTGATGGGAACACATCGAGGCACAAAATAAGCCCAGTTATGCCTTCTTCCCCCTAGTTGACAGCTTCCTTTTGCCTGACCTATGACCCTCAGCAGGGAGGATGCTGTTCCTGTCCTTGCAACTCTAGGCCTTCAACACTGTCATAGTCCTGAGTGTTTACACTGAATTGCCTCCTCTTCATCTGTTCTCAGGGTTTTCCCATCTAGACAGAAGTATAACTGACCAAAGGAAAACTGATTTCCCAGCGCTTGCCGGTGGGCATTTTGGCCCGTGGCTCTGGAGCTCTGGCACGAGCCGTAGAACGACACGTGGTGTCCTTGGAATCCATTTCTGCTGAATTACACAGTTTTTACATCTTGTGATCACGGAAGGTATCTCAGGATCTCTGTCAAAAGGAAAGGCTAACCATCCATGTATTTTGTGTTCAGGATCTTGTTTCCTGCTTGGGCGGCCCTGTCCTCAGTGGTGTGTGCAGGCGCCTGGCTGTGGACTTCCGACACTGCCGAGGTGGCCTCCCGGACCTGGTGGTGTGGAACTCCCAGAGTCATCGTGTTAAGGTCAGCTGCACCAGAAAGGAGAACGCTTTTTCTCTGATAATTGTGTTAGCAATTTAATCAAAGGCTACAATGTAGGCATTTCTTGCATGACTGTTAGTAAGATTGAGTCCCTCGAGAGCTATTGGATTGAAGGCCACAGTTCCTTGGTGGCTGTCGGCTGGGACTTCCTCCTCAGCCCCTTGCCTGTGGGCCTCTCCTGTCCACTGTGCAGCATTCCACTTGACAGCTCATTTCATCAGAGCAGGCAAGTGAGAAGAGCCAGGGTGTGAGCAAGATGGAAGCCAGTCCCTCACAACCTGATCTCAGAAAGGACATTCCTTCACTTTTGCTGTATTCTTCTGTTAGAAGCAAGTCACAGATTCCAGCCCCCATTCCCAGGGAAGGGATCCTGCAGGGTGTGAACAGCAGGAGGCTAAGATGACTGGGAGCTGTTCTCTAAGCTCCCCATGAGTGAATGCCTTGTTATCCGCTGTGACCTCAGGGCCACCCTTGCCCCCACCCTGGTCTTACTCTGCTGCCCGTCCCAGGTTGGTTTTTATTATTGGGCTTTGAGATTAAAAACAATTCTGGATACACGTCCTGTATCAGATATATTTCATTCCAGGCTGTGGCTTGTCTTTTCATTCTCATAATAGTGTCTTTTGAAGAGCAGAAATTTTAAGTTTTGACCAGGTCCAACTTCTCTGTTCTTTAATGGATCGTGCTTTTGGGTTCATGGGACATCTCGGACTGGAACTGTGGATTTGAATGTTTCTCCTTGAAGTTCTATCCAGTTTGCTTCATATATTTTGAAGCTCTCTGATTAGATATAAAAACCTAAGGGCCTGTCACGTCCACTTGATGAGTTGATTTCTTCATCATTGTGAAGTGACCCTCCTTTATTTCTGGCAGTGTTCTCTACCCGGAAATTGACTGATACCAATAAATAGCCACTCCAGCATTCCTTTGGTTAGTGCTAACAGGATGTATCTTTTTCTAGTCTCTTACTTTTAACTTATTTTTGTCTTTATATCTAGTGGGTTTCTTGTAGGTAGCATTATACATGGGTCTTTTTCATTCAGTTTGAAAACCTCTGCCTTTTAATTGGGTATTTGGACCATTTACAATTGATGTAATTATTGATGATTGGCTTTAAAGCTACCATCTTGATACTTGTTTTCTATTTGTCTCAGCTCTCTTGTTCTTTTCTCACCTTTTTCTACCTTTTTTATTTTTTTAAAGGATTGCATTTTAACTCTTAGCTGGCTTGTTATCTGTAGCTCTTTGTTGTAAGTGGTTGATCCAGTGTTGACAGTGTAGATCTTAAATGTATTGTCTTTCAAGTGACGTTAGGCCATTCCGTGTATAGTATAAAGAACATGAGTATATTTTTATATCTCCTCTCTTGGCCTTTGTACTGTTCACATATTCCTACATGTTATAAACTCTACATTTTTTTGACTTTCTACAGCTGATTACTAAGAATCTTTATATTTATTCACATAGATACAAATTTTTTTCCTCCCCTAGATACAAATTTTTTTCCAAAGATTTATTTTAGAGAGCATGAGCAGGGGGAAGGGCAAAGACAGAGGAGGAGAGAGAATCATCAGGCCTCTGCTGAGCATGGAGCCCGACACAGGGCTGGATCCCAGGACCCTGAGGTCATGACCTGAGCCAAAATTAAGAGTCAGATGATCAATTGACTGAGCCATTCAGGTGCCCTGGTAGATACAAATTCTTACTACTTGTTATTCCTTCATAAAGATCCAGATTTCCACATGCTGTTATCTTCCTTCTGCTTAAAGAACTTTAACACTTTTTGAAATGGAGGCCTGCTAGTAATGAATTATTTAGGTTCTCTATGTCTTTAGTCTTTATTTCACCTGCTTTTTTTAAATGATTTCTTCATGCTAGAGAGAGAGAGAGAGACACAGGCAGAGGGAGAAGCAGGCTCCATGCAGGGAGCCTGACATGGGACTTGATCCCGGGTCTCCAGGATCACGCCCTGGGCTGAAGGCGGCGCTAAACCACTAAGCGACCTGGGTTGCCCTATTTCATCTGCTTTTGAAAGATATTTTCTCTGAGGAAAGAATTCTATGTTGATAGTTTTTTTCTTTCGGTATACTTTGAAATACTGGTCCAGTTCTCTAGCTTGCATTGTTTTTTTAATGATAATTGTGTGGTGTTTCCCTTAATGCTTTAAAAAAATTTAGCTGCTTTTAGAATATTCCCATTATCACTGATTATGCAACTCAATTCTGTTTCTTTATGTAGTGTTCTTTATGTTTCTGTGCTTGGGGTTCATTGAGCTGCTTGGATCTCTGGATTTATAGTTTCTGTCAAATTTGGAAAATCTGGGTAGTTTTTATTGATGTTTTGAAGTTCAGTAATCTGCAGTGAATAAAACTGACACAGTTCCTACCATCGTGGAACTGATACGTTAACAGTTTTATCTTTTGATAAATGCCACGAAGAAGTACATAGGAAGGACCCTACTTAGCGGTGTTGCTGGACCTCTCTGAGATGAATTTAAGCTGAGCAAAGACGGGTAAGAAGTCAGACATGTGAAGAACAGGATGTCTTGGGCAGAGGGAATAGCAAGCATATGGAAGGGCCAGCCCTTCAGGGGCACCTGGGTGGCTCAGTTGGTTAGGCGTCTACCTTTGGCTCCAGTCATGATCTCAGGGTCCTGGGATCGAGCCCTTCGTCAGGTTCCCTGTTTGCAGAGAGCCTGCTTCTCCGTCTCCTCCATGCTCGTGCTGTCTCTCAAATAAGTAAATAAAAATCTTAAAAATCCAAAAAAAAAAAAAAAAAAAAAGAGGAAGAAGAGCCCTTGTTGGAAAGAGGTTAGTCTTTCTCAGGAACTTTGAAGTGGTTGGCAGGGTCAAGATTATAGTTTTGTAGGTCATGGCAAAAGTTCAGATTTAATTGCAAATGCAACAAAAAGTAATCGAGTTTTAGGCAGGGGAGTAACAATCTAGTGCTTTAAAACTATTTTCCAACTGTGTTTTGAGAATCAACTTACTAATTCTCTGTGAAGAACTGCCTACTTTCTACAGAATAATTCCCAGTGAATTTCATGTTTACATCTCTGTTATATAGAAGTAGAGCAGTATCAGTGAAAACTACTATAGTGTACTTGGCTATTCTGTTTCAGTAAGATACTAATAACTTTTTTTGATACTAATAACTTTAAAAATTATATTCCAGCTGGTGGAAGTTAAAGGCCCCAATGATCGCCTTTCACATAAGCAGATGATCTGGTTGGATGAGCTGCAGAAGTTGGGGGCCGAAGTAGAAGTCTGCCACGTGGTTGCAGTTGGAGCAAAGAGCAAAAGCCTTTCCTAACTAAGAGCTGTGGTGTCGGGGTGTCTGGTTGTACTTGGACTGATTTTCAAAAGCATAAAGCAGGATTACATTTTTAACTTTGATTTTGCTTTGTCAGTAATAAACAAGATCATCATCGTACAGTGTGTGCATCATAAAACTTGGTTGTAGTTTGAATGTACTCCTTGATTCCACATAGCAGGTAATGAACTTTCTAGAAGGTCAGAACCTTGGTGGCCATTTTAGGAAATGGATGCATCTACGTTATTAAACTAGACTTGCATAGCAACTGGAAACCATCCAAACAGGATGTTTTGCAGCTTTTGGTCTTTTATAAAAGTTGCACACCAATGTTTCCAGTTAAGCATATTGGAGAGACCTGAATTTAAGGTTTTCTATATGCCGATATATGCAGCTGTTTAACTTTGTTTTATGATTATCTAAGGAGGGCATAAACAATTAAAATTCTTTCTCTGGGAATTAAAAAAATATTCTCATCAAGCTCCTTAACTTTTAGCCTGCTCTTACTTACTGGGCCTAAATCATTAAAAGAATGAATAGTCTCTTAAAGGTAATGGTCCTTTTTCATCCGTAGCCTCCCTACTGACTGGAGGGGCAATTTTCTGTATAGACAGTGTAATTACAACAGGGCTACTCACAAGAGCCCCAGGACAAGGAAAGTGTATGGTAGGAAGGCAGCTAACCAGAATGAGTGGACCAGGAGTCGGGCGGGGACTCCAGCCTCCCCACAGCCTAGTTCTGAGAGGTTCTTAGGGAATATTACTCTCCAGCTTGGTCATTTATTGAATGGAAGGACAAGTTAGGGCACCGTCCATTAATACCCATATGGTCTTAACTGCAGCCAGTTCTGAAGCCACGTCAAAAATGTTACTGCTCATTAGCTGTTGCTTTAGAGCAGGCAAAAAGATTGAATGGATGACACACACATGACTATAGTTGGAAGAAAATGCTTTCGCTTCTTGAATCACTATGTTCCTGTACATGATTTCGTATTGACAACTACGACAATCAATTTCTGTGGAAATTTTATTTAGCAGTCAAAATTTCCTTCACATTCATCACTGTTGAACAGCAAGATCTCTCGTCTTTTCTGCTCATCCTACTTTATTTAACTCAAGTCATAATTTTAGGCACAAAGGTTTTCGTTTTCTCTGAAAATCAAGTTCTAACTACTTGAGGTTACTGCTACGGCAAGCAGGTTTTGTTGAAGGTATGTTGACTAATTTTCATCCCCTGTTAGCACAAATTAATATACTTTTCTTAAATAAAGTTAAGACATTTTTGGTTTTAAAACCGTTTCCATCATAAAATAACACACTGTACATCTTTAAATTCAGTACTAGAAAGTCCCAGGCTGTCTGGTGCCTGTGTGGCATCCTGTGGGCACAGGCTTGTTCGCAGGGCTGTGGGGCCAAAAGGTGTGAAGCGCTCTTCCGTGCGGTGTCCATAACCACACGTTGGACTTCGGTTGCCACCACGTCCTGCCAGCAGAGGTGCCAGGCAGCTTTATAACGGCCAGAACTTAAAACTGTTATAGTTGTTTTTCATATTATGCACGAAAACTGGCACAATAATCATGATAGAACAACTGTCCAGAAAAAATAAAACTAAAAACTTATTTTACTACATTTGATCATATAAAAATATGCACATTTTGTTTTGAAACAGTATTAATAGTACCTAATCTTTTTTAAATTTGTAAATTAAGAAAATTGTTAAGGAGTTGAAATAAATGTGTGAGGAGAGATAATTATAAAGAAATAAATGCTCAACAACCCCTCCAAGCCCAATTTAGAGTAATTTGTAATAATAAAAAGGAAGCTTAATCAAAAAGGGAGAATTATTACACTTCTACGGCAGGATATGCTGTGGGATTTTAAGGGGATTGGGACTGGTTTCCAATCAAGGACTATAAAATATTTAATGGCAACAGTGCTATTTACTTATATAAATTGAAATAGCCCTTATTTTCTAGGCAAAAACACTGTGCTTATCCACAAGACAAATTTCCTAAGACATTTTATAAGAACTTCTGTCCCTTGAGGTCCAGAGACATGAATTCTAAAAAGGCAAGTAATTTGAATAGAAACAGCTATTTGTTTCACATAAAGGTGAAAGACTTCTTTGAAAAAACTTGTTTTAGAAAAGATAAACTAGCCACTTCACTATAAAATTTTTTTTAAAGCTTAAGATGGCAGTTTAACAAACTCTAAGAGCCCAATTTGAACCCCTCCATCCTGTAAACAGGGCCTAGGGTGTGGGCAGGAGCGAGGAGTAGAGGGCAAGGCGCTGAGTGAGGCCTTGGCCTTGGAGCTTCAGCTTGGCCCGCACAGCCCTGGCCGGTTTGGGTCCCACCGGCTTGACCAAGCACACCCACCCCCCTGTGCTGCTCTGGCTCATGCCACCGGGGAACATTCAAATGGTAGTATTTTGAGAGTACACTTTTCTTTCCCCTCTTGGTGACACCTCACCACCAGGAACTTGGTTGGTAGAAGGAGGGCGATGCCTCACAATCCCATCAGTTCTTTCCAATGGGAGGTGCCAGCAACAGTGACCCTGCTGCCAATACTGATGGGGGCACCCAGATGCCTCTGAGGGAGACCTTGACTTTCCAGGGTGGGTTCAGCACCATCCACACTCACCCCTGCTGCCCTCACACCAACACCCACCCGCCCACAGGCCCACTGTGCCCTCGCTGACCTTCAGATGGGAGGAAATGCACTTTTCGAGACTCCTGGCTCCTGGTATGAAGCTCAGGGGCAGGAGGCCTGTTTTCAATATCCAGGCTTGTAACACTTTGTTGTAAAAACTGGAATTGTGTTTAACTCTGTGTCAGGCTTCAGAGTAACATCAAAGGCACTTCTATGTTGGCATCCTCTATAACAAATGCTTCTAAAGTCAACAGTGCATATCGTTTTAGTCAACCCTACAATGGTAAAAGCAAACTCGTGATTTTAAAACACAGTGATATACGGTCCTAAACAAAGTGATCTACCATCACTGTCCGCTCAGGGACCTCAGAACCGAAGTGACCAGAAACCTGCAGGAATACCCAGGCCTGTGGGGCGTTTCCTGGAATGCCTACTGAACATTAACTTTCTTCCTGTCTGCCTCTGTGCAGTGGTGACCTAGGCTCAGGTAACCCTTACCAGGTGGTAGGGGAAAGTGGCTGCAGACAGGATCAATGGCACAGACAAAGCCTGCTCCTCTGCTCATAGGAGTAAGAGTGGGAAGTCCGCCTACAGGTCACCCGAGGCTGAGGCAGCCCTGAGAGGACAGAGAGGTCATCAAAAAGAAGAGGGCTGCCTATCTTTTTGAAAACCTGCAAAGGAAGCAGAATTCAACATGTTTTTAAATATTAGTGCAAATTCCCACTGTTAATCTGACATAGAAAATTCTTAGAGCCTCAAGTGCCTAGGTTAGCAATTGTAAGAGAAGCTTCTGGCTTCCCTCAGCATGTTTAAAAAGTCCATCTCAGTCCTCATTTGCTAGCGTCTCAGTAGATAACCAGATCTTGGCCCCACTTAAAAACTTGCTCAAGGGCGTTCCTGAGATGCTCCGTCTACAGAGGTTGCCCACAGGGCTAAATGGGAAAGCAGACGACAGGAAGTCCGGTGTTCCCGGAGTGGCGTGAGCACTGACCCGGAAGTACATGCGGCTCTCGTCCGGGCCCATGTGGCCGGCATCCAGGGACCCGGCCCGGTGCTGCCGCAGCGTCCTGCTGAGCGCGTCCACCTCGTCGGCCAGCAGCGAGAGCTTGTGGAAGGCGGTGATGAAGCCCCCGAGGTGGATCTGGGCCTCGGGCACCCAGCGGAAATAGCACAGTTTCCAGAGCTTCACATGTGTTCCCGAGACATGTGGCAGAATAACGCCATGCAGGTCAGCTGGTTTGGAAAACCATTCTCTAAAATACTGCTCGGCACCATGGTCCTGGCTGGTGGGTGGTGGCGGAGGGTCAGGCTTCGCTTTTACTATCAATGAATTTCTCCTTGGGACCAAATCTGGGTCACTGATGATTCCATTCCTTAAGGAACCTGGCATTCCTCTCAGTGTGGAACTGTAGCTTTTCTGTGCAAGAGAGAGGTTGGCATTATTTTCCTGGCGCTGCCCCTTTTGGAAAAACAGGAAAGGTGCAGTGGCAAATAAAAACCTAGGACTATGAAAAAGTGGCTGAACAGCAGCCATCAGGAACATCTTGTTCCTTCCCCGGTAATTCTCATCCCAGTTCTCCTCCACTGGGGTTCCATGGTTTTAGGGACAGACCCTGGCTATTAGTCCTTGCTGCAGGGGTTGGGGAAGTGATATATCCTGTTGGTTAATTTGCTTAAATGCAAATTTCTAAGACTCCTGGGTTAGGAAAAACTGTACACCTGGCTCATTCTAGAACGAACAGGCAAGTGGATGGGTTTCAGGAATGGGGCCTCCTAGGCTCAGAGTTGCTATCTGCTAAATCCTAGATGCTGAGAGGCTTTGTGGGCCTCAAAGTCGGGGCATGGTCATTTCAGCTATAAAAGGAATGATCCCTCAAAATCTGCATGGGCAGTGTCGTCAGGAGAAGTGACTTGGCTCTTAATACTCGGTGTTCTGAAAATACGCTTTCTGTTAGGTGTGAGCAAATACCAGATTTTAATTGTCAGTGCATTTTTGTGACTTACCTTTGTCCGTTTGAAAGATTTCACAGAACCATTCTGGACGCAGGGCGTGCTCTTTCCAATGTACAAGGGGTTATGGAAAAGAGTGCGATCCTTTGCTGTAAACTGAAGAGACCAGTCCCAAACTGAGGGAAATTTTAAACCCTTTTCGTCACCCAACTGGATATTTTTGCTGATAGCAAATTCCTGCAAAGTAAAATATTTGGATATCTATGAAAAGGTGCCAAATAAAAGATTTTCCCACATATATTCCTTTTTTGTGACAAACCCTTCATCACTACCTAAGCTGAATTTTCTGGACTGGAGCAACTTGAGCCCCCAAGAGAGCAGCATGTTTTGCTTTGAGAGAAGAGACGTTCTTGGCACCTCAGATAAGAGGGACATCTCACACATAGTATGAGCGAGCAGAGGGCACTTTCTTCTGGAAGCTGAGGAAGCTGGGCCCTCCAAGCAATGAGTATGTTATTAGAAGTGAAACTTCACAAAAATGATACCATAGAGTCTTAAGCATGTTGCAGTAGCTTTGGTACTTGTAGCAGTTTACTTTTTGAGTGCACCATCCTGCACTTTACGCAAGTACCTGCTGGGGATAAAACTCAGTGAGTGGATGTGTGAGATAGTCTCTGGAAGGAAATTACTACTGTCTGTGTGACTGTTTTTCTAAATGGACAGCTACCCGTCGCTTTCCAGTGGCCTTCAAAATCTGAACCACAGCCTAGAAGCAGGGAGGAGGGAATCCACCCCTCCCTGCAGTCCTAAGTTTGGCCAAGGCCACGAAGACCATGCAGTGGCTGGGCCTTCTGCTCCCCGCAGCCCACCTCCAGCCTGCTCTGGGTTCACATGACCTGGTGACCCAGTGGCATGACACTGTGGGGTGACAGCCCACCACTTCTGTGTGGAGGAGGTGAGGATCATCTCAAACAATGCAACTGCACTTAGGTGGAGAAAGGACCCTTGGGGACATTTGGGTGGCTCAGTGGTTGAGCGTCTGCCTTTGGCTCAGGGCGTGATCCCCAGGTTCCAGGATCGAGTCCCACATCGGGCTTCCTGCATGGAGCCTGCTTCTCCCTCTGCCTATGTCTCTGCCTCTCTCTCTCTCAGGAATAAATAAATAAAATCTTTACAAACTTACTTACTTACTTACTTACTTACTTACTTACTTATTTATTTATTTATTTATTTATTTATTTATTTATTTATTTATTTATTTATGATAGTCATACAGAGAGAGAGAGAGAGAGGCAAAGACACAGGCAGGGGGAGAAGCAGGCTCCATGCACCGGGAGCCCGACGTGGGATTCGATCCCGGGTCTCCAGGATCGCGCCCTGGGCCAAAGGCAGGCGCCAAACCGCTGCGCCACCCAGGGATCCCAATAAAATCTTTACAAAAGAAAAAAAAGAAAGGACCCTTGTCTTGGATGAGTGACAAAAGCAGGCTACCACAACAGTTTATGCAGATTACTAGTTCTCTGGAGGACATATCTCAAGATACTGAATCTTTGGATGGTGGGAGATGATGGATTCTTATTTTCTGCTCTATATCTTTCAGTATTCTCCAAAAACACAAGAATTTCTTTGGAAGTTAGAAAGAAAGCAGAGAGTAAATATCATCAGAAAAGCACTGCTGCAGTCAGGAGGCCAGCTCTGTACCACAAGTGTGAGCAGGTGTGACCCACGCCACAATGTTGGCTCGGGGCCAGGAGGAAACCGGTAAGCTATCTAACAGCACAGGGCATTTACAAAATTTTCTATTTCAAATGAGTAAAACTCAACTTTCATTAAGCACTAAATATACTAAAAACATTCTTTTTTAGTTATTTGAGATTTCATCAAATATATCCGTGTAGAAACAACACATTTGCTTTAAAAAAAATAGTATTGTTAAGAGCTGAAACCTAATGCCTGGGACATCTGGGACACCTGGGTGGCTCAGTGGTTGAGCATCTGCCTTCTGCTCAGGTCATGATCATGGGGATCCTGGGACTGAGTCCCCGGATCAGGCTCCCTGCGAGGAGCCTGCTTCTCCCTCTGCCTCCCTCTGTGTCTCTGCCTCGCTCGGAGGAGGGGCAAGATGGCGGAAGAGTAGGGTCCCCAAATCACCTGTCCCCACCAAATTACCTAGATAACCTTCAAGTCATCCTGAAAATATACGAATGCGGCCTGAGATTTAAAGAGAGACCAGCTGGAACGCTACAGTGAGAAGAGTCCGCGCTTCTATCAAGGTAGGAAGATGGGGAAAAAGAAATAAAGGAACAAAAGGCCTCCGAGGGGGAGGGGCCCCGCGAGGAGCCGGGCTAGGGCCGGGGCGAGTGTCCCCAGGACAGGAGAGCCCCGTCCCGGAGGAGCAGGAGCTGCACCAACCTTCCCGGGCGGAAAGGCGCTCGCAGGGGTTAGAGCAGGACCCAGGAGGGCGGGGATGCCCTCGGGCTCCCTGGGACACTAACAGACACCTGCAGCGAGAGGAGGAGAGCGCCGAGCTCCCTAAGGGCTGCAGCGCACACATTGACCCGGGAGCAGCTCTGAGGGGCTCGGGCGCGGCTCTGCGGAGGAGGCTGCGCGGCTCCGGGAGCAGCTCGGCAGCGGCGGCTCGGGCAGAGGAAGAGGCTCCGTGCGGAGGGGGCTGCGCGGCTCCGGGAGCAGCTGGGGGGCTCGGGCGGCGGCTCCGCGGAGAGGGCTGCGCGGTCAGGAGCGCGAATCCAACAGCGCAGGCTCCGGAGCACAGGGCGCCGGGACACAGCCCAGGATCCGTCCTCCCCCCGGGACAGGCAGAGGCCGGGAGGGCCCAGGACAGCAAGGACGCTCCTGCCCGGAGCTGAGCAGATCAGCGGCCCCGCCCCGGGGCCTCCAGGCCCTGCAGAGAGCTCCGAAGTTACTGCCGGAGCTGAGTCCAGGCTTCCAGAGCTGCCATAGCCACTGTGGCTGTTCCTCCTGGGGCCTCACGGGGTAAACAACCCCCACTGAGCCCTGCACCAGGCAGGGGCAGAGCAGCTCCCCCAAGTGCTAACACCTGAAAATCAGCACAACAGGCCCCTCCCCCAGAAGACCAGCTGGACGGACAAGTTCCAGGGGAAGTCAAGGGACTTAAAGTATACAGAATCAGAAGATACTCCCCCGTGGTTTTTTTTGTTTTTCTTCTTTTTGATTTCTGATTGCTTCCCCCACCCCCTTTTTTTCACCTTTCTTTCTTTTTCTTTCTCTTTTTCTTCTTTTTTCTTCTTTTTCTTTTTTTTTTCTCTTTTCTTTCCTTCTCTCTTTCTCCTTTTCCCAATACAACTTGTTTTTGGCCACTCTGCACTGAGCAAAATGACTAGAAGGAAAACCTCACCTCAAAAGAAAGACTCAGAAACAGTCCTCTCTCCCACAGAGTTACAAAATCTGGATTACAATTCAATGTCAGAAAGCCAATTCGGAAGCACTATTATACAGCTACTGGTGGCTCTAGAAAAAAGCATAAAGGACTCAAGAGACTTCATGACTGCAGAATTTAGATCCAATCAGGCAGAAATTAAAAATCAATTGAATGAGATGCAATCCAAACTAGAAGTCCTAACGACGAGCGTTAACGAGATGGAAGAACGAGTAAGTGACATAGAAGACAAGTTGATGGCAAAGAGGGAAACTGAGGAAAAAAGAGACAATTAAAAGACCATGAAGACAAATTAAGGGAAATAAACGACAGCCTGAGGAAGAAAAACCTACGTTTAATTGGGGTTCCCGAGGGTGCCGAAAGGGCCAGAGGGCCAGAATATATGTATTTGAACAAATCCTAGCTGAGAACTTTCCTAATCTGGGAAGGGAAACAGGCATTCAGATCCAGGAAATACAGAGATCCCCCCCCCCCTAAAATCAATAAAAACTGTTCAACACCTCGACATTTAATAGTGAAGCTTGCAAGTTCCAAAGATAAAGAGAAGATCCTTAAAGCAGCAAGAGACAAGAAGTCCCTGACTTTCATGGGGAGGAGTATTAGGGTAAGAGCAGACCTCTCCACAGAGACGTGGCAGGCCAGAAAGGGCTGGCAGGATATATTCAGGATCCTAAATGAGAAGAACATGCAACCAAGAATACTTTATCCAGCAAGGCTCTCATTCAGAATGGAAGGAGAGATAAAGAGCTTCCAAGACAGGCAGGAACTGAAAGAATATGTGACCTCCAAACCAGCTCTGCAAGAAATTTTAAGGGGGACTCTTAAAATTCCCCTTTAAGAAGAAGTTCAGTGGAACAATCCACAAAAACAAGGACTGAATAGATATCATGGTGACACTAAACTCATATCTGTCAATAGTAACTCTGAACGTGAATGGGCTTAATGACCCCATCAAAAGGCGCAGGGTTTCAGACTGGATAAAAAAGCAGGACCCATCTATTTGCTGTCTACGAGAGACTCATTTTAGACAGAAGGACACCTACAACCTCTGTGTCTCTCATGAATAAATAAATAAAATCTTAAAAAAAAAAAAAGGGCTGAAATCTAGTAAAACATAAACCCCAACCTGCTTTAATGGCCCTTAGGAAAATATATAGAAATCAGTTGTCTTTTCTTTTTAATGTGAAAACTAAAAATATCTCCAAGGTGAAAATTAGATTTTCTATAAACAGTACCTGACTATGAGCATCTAAGGCGGCCTCAGAATGGAAAAAAAAAAAAAAAGGAAATGTCTTTGTGGAAGCGACTGAGAACAGTGGGGTCGTGCTAAAAATCAGGACCTTAAGTCAACAGTTTCCCAGGGAGGGCAGAGGTGGTGCTCCCGGCCTCCAGTCTGGCTATTGCATAAATCATAAATGTGAAGCACTGAGGGAGGGAAGGATCCATGTTAGGACTTGCCAGAAAAAGCTTTTGAAAAACGTCCAGTTAACAAAATACAGCACTGGACCACAGACCAGGGAAAACAGATGATATACTTTAAAAAAATATTTAACTTCTATTCCTGCATAGAAATCTATTTGTAAACCTATGTCGGCACATCCAGAATCCAGCCGAGAAGGAGGGGGAGGAGAGAGTGCATCCAGGGGGCCAGCTCGTGCTCCACAGAGACCTCCCGCAGCACCCACCCGAGGTACTGCGGTCACTGGCACCTCCAGACCAATGTACTGGCATTTTACATCTCATGCTTTGTGTCTAACAAGGCTATTTGATTTCCTCGCCTTGTGAACATTTTGAAGGCTCCAGTGGTGTGTGTGTGTGTGTGTGTATGTGCATGGGTGTGCTCTCAGGGCAGTGAAAAGACAGGCAAACACCACCACATGCAGCCCAGCCCGCAGCACAGTGAGAGGTACCAAACTGATGATGGTCCGTGAACGAGAAATGAAAAGGAGCATCTCAGAGACCATTTAGTTTAGGAACAAACAGGTGCCCACACCTCCAGAGCCCAAGCCCAGAATTGGTGTCAGTGCAGGACTGAGATAGGTCACGTTCTTCTAGGGAAGCAGAGAAATTATTTTATGAAGATCTCTCTCCCGAACTCTCCAATCCGAAATAAATACCCTATGACAGTGTTGCACTTCTCTCACCCTGAGCCCCTGGAGAGAAGCAGGCAAGACCTGTTCTACCTCCCTCTCCTGCCTGCTCCCTCTCATAACCAAGCCCCCGGATCCCCTCTCCTTTGCTTTGGGAGGTTCCTCATTGATAAAGTCATCTCCTTACATGTCCAGTGCACTTTGTCTTTCACATCCACATCCGGAATAATTCATTTCTTTAGGAAATAGTGAAGCATAATGCTTCACAGTTTACAAAATGTTTTCAATTCACAGAATGAAGCCAAAAGTAGTACTGTTAGTTTGGTGGATCCGTTTTTACAGATGGGGAACCTGGGCTCACCATTCTTCCAACCCTGGGCAGGATTCACATTATATCAGGCCACATCGCCTGGATGAGGGCCATACTGCCAAGGCTAAGGACCCCACAGCTCACTGTGAAGGCAACCCTCTTAGAAAGTCTTCCTAGAGGCCCACAGGAGCTGCTCTTATTTCTCCAATGATTGCTGCAGCATTTATCTGCTATTCTCATTGTTGGTTTAAATGTGGGTGAGCCAGCCAGAACCTGTGGTTTCGGAAGGCTGTACCAGCGGCAATCAGAAGTTAGTCTCAAGTTTGGCTTGAGACTCTCCTTAGTTATGATTCTTCCTTCTAGATCATTGAATTGTGACTAGAAATGGATAATCCTACCCCAAAGGGACTGCTGTGTGACAGGTGGGACATTATCTGGCAGTCCAGCACCCACTGAGAATCTCAGCCTAGCACCATGACTACCCTTGCTCTCTGACAGTCCTTCTCCACAGGACCCTTGAAGAAAATAATCTCGCTTTGTACAACTGTTTTTCTAAGAAATAAAAGTCCTCTAGCAGGACATTTTCAATTACCCATCCAGACACCCCAAATGTGAAAACACATTTAAGGTGGTTAAAATAATTTATATCTTTAAAAACTGGTTAATTTTTTTTGTTATGTATCATGTTTTCTTTTTTTAAATAGGTCCACACCCAATAAGGAGCCTGAACTCATGACCCTGAGATTAAGTTGTGTGCTCTACCCACTCAGCCAGGTGTCCCTAAAAACTGGTGTATTATTGTGAACAATGTACATTAGAGAAACATACCTAAAATACTCATAAAAATGAAACAGGGTCCTAGTTTTTATATGCCTTTAAATAATTCATTCAGAAATTGCAGCTTAAAATGGTAGCTAAGACAGTTTTAATTTACATATTTTAACTATGCAGCCAACTGTACTTCACTTCTATTTCCATAAAGCTGCACAAGGCAGAGAAGTCACTGTTGCCACCATCCTACTTACCGTGCTTTGTTTCACCCGCTGGTGAGGGGAGTTGAACAGGAAGGTGCCGAACAGGGAAATGCGGGTGCTGTCGTACAGCACTGCCAAGTATGTCTCTGAGAACTCGAAGGCCGCTGGGTACTGTTCTAGCAGCTGCCACGTGGCATCCAAGAACAGCAAAAATAAAGGAGACTGGCAGACACAAATGGAAAATGGGATTATTTAATGTTGTCCTTTGGTTATTCCCATTTATTTCCAAATTTAGGGCTCATGTTAAGATTACTAAGAAAACATTTCAGCCTAAAACACTTGGCTCTGAAGCTGAGCCAAGGATATGTGGACAGGTCACCATGGCCTCTGTTAAAGCTTAGAAGTATGTTCAACTGCCATTAACATCACAGCCCTCATTTGCCTAAGAAGCATGTATGTTGAAACGGCAAAGTAAACAGGCAGGTGTCACTATATGAATGGGGGACACAAAAATATGTGATTAAACCTATGTTGGAAATAATTATTTAGAACACTGAAAAAAAGAAAAAAACACCCCAAACCAGAAAACAATTTATGTGATTTGCTTTTGGTAGACCGTGCAGGCTTGACATCTGGGAAAACAACTCAGAGTTTCAGAAACCAGTTGTCATTAGCCTCTAGGTCACGTGGTGGATCCCCAAGTACAGCAGCTGATGACAACTATTCTATCTTGGCGTCCCAGCAATTTAAAAGTGAAGTGGTCACAACTGAGATTTCCTCAGATGGTGCAGTTTGTTGTTAAACCTGAGACCCATGAGTCGGACTGTGCTCTCTGCAACAAGTACATCTGTGAGATGCCTATAGGCTGTTCCCAGTTTACTTCTGCACCCAAGGCAGACACTATGCCCAAAGCTGTTATGAAGGTGTTCTTCTCCAACTTTCCATTCTTATACACGTGCCCCATTTTAAGAAAACATGGTATTCCAAAACTGATTTTTCAAAATACCTAATGTGCTTGTTATCTGCTTTGCAGAAGAAATACAGCATTTTTTCAAGTACTTTTCAACTTGAAGAAATGCAACAGACAATTTTTTTTGGAATTTTTAGCTATTTACTTATAATAATCTTCATAAGTGTATCAATTTGGATGCTAATCCATCATTAGTTTTGGACTAAGGAATGCTAAGAGGTACCAAATGCAATATTTAAAAAGCCTCTTCATCTCTTTAGACAGAACACCTCTTCACAAGGTGACATGAATTTTATCTTGTGCACACTTAAATGACTCACAATGAGCATTACAATTCTGTTACCTCTTTCTCAGATCTCTTTAAGTGGTTGCATCTGTCTAGGAACTGATATCCGGCCATGACCCACTCCTTCTGGATCAGACTCTGAAATCCCGTAATTGTCCTAAAATGGGGATCCAGCATCACTTGAACAAGAGAAGCTACAATACAGCTCAAGTCTCTTCCCTCCTCCTCTGTCAAGAAAATGGAAAGAAAATGACTATTATATAGAAAAATGCTGAGAGAAAGGGAAGAAAAGATAAAGTGGTTAATACAGTACTCTCTACCTAAGCTGCCTTCAAAATAATCTATGTTGGAAAAGTTCACTGGATTCCAGCAACTTTAAATTATAGACTTACAGATCAAGTAGTGTTTTGTGGGGGATAATCTTTTATATATGAATATTTTGCAGGTAATAGAGCACAGCCCTCACACTTTATATTTCAGTGGTTTGTGGTGGAAATCTTTCAAGAGTCCATTCTGCTTCCTAAGAATATTAAATATAATGTAATCTTTCCACTGGCAATTCCACATGGTGACTAAGAAGTGAATGAACGGAACAGGATTGTCCACTGTCATCCAAAAAGGTGGCAGACATTTTCATTCCATCTTTTACAGCTGGTGTCCTTTTCCATAATGCCAGTAATATCCTGGTATCAAAGCCAGCCAAAGAAATCAGGAAAAAAGTCCACCAGTATCCCTTATAATTAAGACTGTAGAATCATCAACAAAATAGGAGCAAATCAGCTTATCTCATGAATACAAGAATTTATTCTAGGAAAGCAAGGTAGGCTTAACTTCTGACAATCAACTAAAGTAACACTTCGTATAAATAAATGATAAAAATAACTTAACTCATTAGATACATAAAAATCATCTGTGTGATAAAAATCCAAAATTCAATATATTTTGTCAAGCTGAATTTAAATTAAAAAAAAAAATCCAAAGTTCATTCTGGATGTAAACTCTCAGCAAAATAAGAATACAGAAGGGTACTTCAACCTGATAAGAGGAATCTATGAAGATCTGCAACCAATATCATTCTTTAACAATGGTAACTCCTATAACTGAGCAATTCCACATCTAAGTATCTACTCACAAAAAAATATGTACATATGTCCCCATGGAGACTTTTATATGAACATTCACAGCAGCGTAATTCATAATAGCCACAGAATGGAAGACACCCAATGTCCATCAAGAGGTAAATGTATAAATAAAATGTGGTATTTACAAAAGAATACTATTTAGAAATGAAAAAGAAACAAATGGCTGATAGATGCTACATGAATGAACCTCAAAAACATGCATGTTAAATGAACGAAGCAGGAGGCAATAGATCACATATTACATGACTGTTTATGAGACATCCAGAATGAGCAAATCTACAGAAACAGAAAGTAGATTAGTGGTTGTCTGGGGTTGGGACACAAGCAATCTTTCTGGTGTGATAAAAATTCTCTACAACTGGACTCTGAACTCTGTGTTCTGTATATTGACTAAAATTACTGATTTCCACACTCAGAATGGGTGAATTTTATAATATGTAAATCATACCTCAATAAACTGTTTCAAAAACACGTTCTAAAGAAAAGTGTTAGTAAAACACAGGCTCACTATCTAAGCCTTTTGTATTATAACAAACGCATCAAGACATGTGCTAGGTAGGATTTTGCAAGGTAGGGTGAGAACACCCACTGGTTGAGAGGAGAGATTACTGGGTTGCTGGACTCTGCATGCACTTGTGAATTAAATAACTCTGATTGCATCAGTTAAGGATTACTTAAAATAGTGCATTACTATTCTTTTTCTCCCCCCTAAAAGTTCTAAATATCTTTACTTTGTTAAAGTCAGTTAAATTTGACAGTAAAAATTTTTGTAAGCTTTAGTACCATAACATATTCATAAACTATGCAATGTGAATATATCATAAAATAAGGTAGTTCATGGTTTATGAAGCTTTGTCCATAAGCTTAAAAATTCTCTTAGCTGTAAAGTTATTATTTCACATTCAACTATCCTTTGCTTAACTGAAACATTTTTATATAGCACTTTACTCATCCTTAACATTAGACAAAATTCACATTATTGGCTACTCAGTTTAGTCAATTTCTTGACACCAAGCTCTTTCTTTAGAGTCCAATTTAGCAGGATCCAGAGGCATTTAAACTAAAATTTGTATGAATTTGAAATGTAGCAAAATTAGAGCAAGAGGATGCTCTGCCAAGATGAACACTTTCTATGACTCCAATAGTAACTGTGACACCCTCATGCTATAGGAGGGAAGATTTAACACATGCTATAGGAGGGAAGACTTAACACAGAGCAGAAAACTGGACTCCTTTCTAATCTTCTACCTGCAGTTGCTGTGCCACTGTTCTCCTCTACCTATGTGTGGAATCTGTAGTGGGTCTGGTGGTGCTGTCGAAAGAGACAGCTAGGGGTAATGTGATTTACTTGCATCAAGTCACCAAGCTGACTGGCATGGTGACCAGTGTTTTCAGTAATGAATTACCTTGTAGCACTACAGACAGATGCCGGCTTTCTAGTATGTACACAAGTTCTGCTGAATGTTTAAGGAATGCCCTGAAAAGACAAAGGGGAAAATACTGTTAAAAATCAGACTTCTATAAATATTCCTTTAAAAGTACTTGAAGTCAGGGCACCTGGGTGGTTCATTGGTTGAACGTCTGTCTGCCTTTGGCTCTGGTCAAGATCCCGGGGTCTGGGATCAAGTTCTGCATTGGGCTCCCCAGAGGGAGCCTGCTTCTCCCTCCACCTATGTGTGTGTGTGTGTGTGTGTGTGTGTGTGTGTGTGTGTGTGTCTCTCTCTCTCTCTCTCTGTGTCTCTCAGGAATAAATAAAAAATCTTAAAAAAAAAAAGTACTTGAAGTCAAACACATCTAATCTTTCCCTATATTCTTAATGGTCTTTATGAATTTCATTAGTATTTACATGATTCAGAGTACATTTTGATTTTTATATCAAGGAAATTAACCCTTTTATAAAAGGGGGTTGATTTACATAACATTCTTGAAATCACAAAATACGGAGATGGAGACAAGATCAGCGGCTGCCACGGGACAGGGATAGGAATGCAACTCTGAAGGGGCAGCATGAAGGGCTTTGTGGTGATGGAGTTCTATATGAGGACTGTGGTGGTAGCTGCACAGACCTCTATGTGCAATAAAAATGCAGAGAAACACACACACACACACACACACAGACCCCAAAACATGTATAAATGGGTGACATCTAAATAAGGCCCATATATTGCACCACTTGGTTTTGAGACAGTATTCTGGTTAGGGAAAATGTTACCACTTGGGGAAAGCTGGGTGAGGAGTACATGGAGTGCTCTAATGTTTTTGTACCTCTTGTGAGTCTGTACTTATTTCAAAAAAAAAAAAAAAAGGGAAAGTGTTTGTACAAACCTTACATATTCTAACCACCGAGTATTTTCCAGTGAAGATAACCATTTTTCTTCAGTTTCTTCAAAAGGCTCTGCAATAAATACGGCAATTATATATACACACACACAAACATATGTATACACACATTTAGGCTTTTTAAACAATTTTACATGATCAATAAGAGTTAAGTGATACACGTCACAATTTTTAATATTTAAAAATTGGCTTTAAGAAAGCATTGTGCACTTTCATTTAATAATATGAACATTTAAAGGATGCGTTACAATTCTAAAAAACACAAAACAAGGCATTCCCCTGGGCCTCTGTTTCCTTCACTGTGGCTTTCAGGGAAATCCTGGAAAGTCTCAGCACCTCTGCCTCCTAAGAGCTGGTGGTTCCCACCTTCTAGGTCAGCCCATGTCTGGATTCTGGCGCCTCTTCCCCCCACACCCCAGCTTCCTGCCTCCAAGCCCTGCCCTCCCTGCTTCTCTGGATTCTGTGAGCAGGGAAAGGCCTGTACTGCCCTCCCCAGTCTGCCTGGCCTGTCTCAAGATGTCTCTCACCTCACCAACTCCAGGTTTAGTTACATTCCACTTACCAGATGGCTGATAAACATTCATGTCATTGTATACACCACCCCCCTCCTCATCTCTCCTTCCAGGCAAGCGCCCATCCAGTGCCACAATGGCTGCCTCTCCTGGCTCTCAGGTAACTAGGGGCTTTCTCTGGGCACCCTTCAGGGACGACTCACTTCACGCCAAAATGATCCTTTCATGTGAGTCACCCCTTCCCACCCTGGTGCACAATGAAAGCAATTGAGAAGCACCTGCTCAAACACACATATTAGAACTCCAAGGCTGCACAGATTACAACATGGCTCTGTCTGAAATCCATGTCAAGTCCTGTGTCTCAAAAATGTAACTGTATACATTAGAATTTTAGTATGTTTGTCTGTAAGGTAGCTCGCTGTTCTCCTTGGCACTTTTACAAAAGTACCCTACCATAACAATCCACGATTTGAAAGTGATTTCATTGATTTATTTTCTTTCCTCCAAAACAAGAAGCAGTTTAAACTTCATTTTCTAAGAGCTTCCAATTTTGTCATACAATAATTTGTACAAATATTTCAATGAGCCCCTACTTATATATTTATTTTTATATTTTCAAGGAATATTGCTTTTTCTGACATACCTCATGCAATGTTGTATCCCTCATTCACTATATACATATATACGTATACACACCAAAAAATGAAATTACCATTAACGCATAGTTGCTTGAGTTTTACAAAAGCCGCCTGTATTTCTTGGATATTGGGCAAGGTCTTATCCAAATCTGATTTGTAAACATCACTTCTCTGTGGATGACTTTTAGTTATTGCATTACAGATCCTAATAAAGACAAAATCCTTGAGTCATTCATTCATGCCACACATTTTTTGAAGACCTATTATGAGCTAAGGCACTACTCTAAGAGCTGGAGATAGACGGACATAGACAGGAGGAGCCTCTGCTCTCAATGGGCTTCTGTGCTTGGTGACAGGAGGGTAAATGAGAAAGTAACAGGCTGTAAAGGCAACAGGTGGCATCATCCAGTGAATGCAGGCTAGTTCAAGGCATGTGGTCAGAAAGGCTTTTCTGTGAAAACGATACTGAAGCCAAAACCCAAAGGACCCGGAGTCACACAAAATGTGAGGGAAAGTGTTCCAGGCAGAGGGACAGTAGAGGCAAAGGTCCTGTGCTGGACACAAGCTCAGCTGTGGAGAAACCTAGAGAAGACCAGTGGGACTGAGCTGATGTGTCTAAGGAGAAATGGGTGGAGAGAGCTTGGACAACAAAGAGAATCTGTCTTACTTATGAAGGGTGGGACAACTGGAAAAACAAAGGAATTAAAACAATTCACAGCTTAGTAAAATTCAAAGATTAAAAGTACTACTGGCTCTAAGGGTTCAAAATGAACTCTCTTCCCAAAGTTCTGTAGGCTCCCCTCTAATAGCAGTACCCCTCCCTAAGCACTTGACCAGCAGACATGGCAGTCAACAGCAGCCTTGGAGCATGACAGGACAGACAGGTCATCTTCAACACGACTGAAGTAAAAAATCCATCAGAGATGATCTGAAGGCAGTCACCCTCCTTTGCAGAAAACTGAAGGGTCATGTGAGGGTCACGTCACTTGACGTTTATTTGCTTCAGCAAACATAGCTTTCTTACATATGGTAGTGTGGAAACCAACCTAAGATTTGGCTGTACCAATAACAGAGTGTGATACACAATCTGAGGCTCTCTGAGCTGGGTTTCTAAGATCTGTTCCCTTGTTCTTCATTTATTTAATTAAGTACTGAATAAATTTCCAATATGACAGTTATTTCCTGAGTGCTGAATGTATAACGGTGTGCAAATCTAGTTCCTTCAGCTCATAAGTTTACAGCCTAATAGCAAAGACAGGCAATAACCAAGCTAACACACATCTACAATTAAAAACTGAGGTAAGAGTTATGAAGAAAACTGAGAGAGCCAAGGAGAACATATAACTTGAGTACTGATCTAATTGAGGAGGTAAGGGAAAGCTCATCTTCAGGAAGTGATGTTCGAACTGAGATACAAAGAATGAGTAAGTACTGAGTGGGTGGGGTAGAGAGTGCTCAAGGATAAGCATGAAGAAAGGCAACCCAAAAGCGAAGAGCACTGGCAAACGGCAGGAGATGGGAAAGCCCAGGCAAAGTACATGGGGCCGAGGCCTAGAGCAGCAGGCATGGTACTGGCTGAGACACTAGAGGAAGAAATGAGGGTGCCTGACAACACACTGGGCTCAGAGGGGAGATAGCTGGAGTGGACACACACAGGTTTGTAAGATTTCTAAAGAGTATATGATAGAATTTGATGATGGACTGAATGTGGGTAAGGAAGCAAGAGAGAGAATACATCCAGGGTGACTCATGGGTTTCTGGAGCAGGCTGGGAGAGGGTGTGGTGCCCATATATTGGAGTCTGGCTTTGAACATAATGAAAGGGACTTTGAGATTTCCACACAGAAGATGTCACATCAGAGATATAAATCTGATGGTCACTAAATCCACAGCCACAGAACTTCTCTAGGATGGAAATACAGAATGGGCAGAAGCAGTGGACAGATTGCCAAGAACCAGGGTTGCAAAACACATAGAGTACAGGTGAGAAAGAGGGGCTTCAGGAGAGTGAAAGGAGCAGGAGCCTGGGACTCAAAAGGCTTTAGTGAGAGACAGATCAGTAGTGATGCCCACCAACTGATGAATGTCTACTGCTTGAACAACATAGAGATTACTGGTGACTTCAGCAGATGATGCCAAACTTGTTTGTGGAAGCTAATCATCTAAGCTACTGTGACTCTGCAGACCTAACACACTCTGAACTATAAGAAAAGTTTGATTTATCCGGAAGTATCTCAACTGGAAATCAATGCACTTTGGAAGTATGATGAGATGACACTGTTATAGCAAGACATGAACAACTTAAGATCTTTTAGTGTCTTAAAAGCCAAAAGAGTTAAAACTATATTTAATACAACTTAAATATTAATTTTATGCATTTTTTTCAAAACAGTAATTCTTGCATAGAATATATGGTGCTAATTAATAAAACTCTGCCATTTTCCAAGTATTTTCAAGTAGTCAGGAGTTTACTGTACTCATTTATGATAACTAAAAATGTCCAAAGTAACAATGACCATTTCCTGATTACCTCTGGTCAATTTTCCTCTGTTGTAGCACATCTTTTATGAGGGCCATTCGCACAAGAGCACTGCCATTAGAGTGACTCCAGCACCAGAGCTAGGAGGGAAGCAGAGCCTTTACTTAACTGAGTAGAAAAAAAAAAAAAAAAGACATAGGTTTGAATGAAATCCAACAGACATCACTTACTGGCATCCTTCTTCCAACAAAAGAATGGGAGAAGATCTTCAGATCTTGGTCTGCTAAAGAACTTGGTACTACAAAGTATTCTGGAAGGCTGGGGAGGAAAAAGCAAACCTAACATAAGAGTCCTCTGGTTTAGGCAGGTGCAGATCCCATATATAATTTTTTTAGAAGATTTTATTTATTTATTCATGAGAGACACACACACACACACACACACAGAGATGCAGAGACACAGGCAGAGGGAGAAGCAGGCTCCATGCTATGCAAGGAGCCTGATGTGGGACTCGATCCCCGGTCTCCAGGATCATACCTTGGGCTGCAGGTGGCACTAAACCGCTGCGCCACCAGGGCTACCCCCATATATAATTTTTTTTAAAGATTTCATTTATTTATTCATGAGAGAGAGAGAAAGAGAGAGAGAGAGAGGCAGAGACACAGGCAGAGGGAGAAGCAGGCTCCACACAGGGAGCACGACGTGGGACTTGATCCCAGGTCTCCAGGATCATGCCCTGGACCAAAGGCAGCATTAAACCGCTGAGCCACCCAGGCTGCCCCCCATATTAGAATTAAACATGTTTATCTTCATTTAATTCGTACCCTACTTGGTGACCACATGGTAGGCACCATGGAAGACAAGGCGGGCCCTAGGTATCTCCTTCTAAAACATGTGTGATGTGGTTAATTAACACAACTTATGTTTATGGCAGGAGAAAATATACAAAGGAGATGTATGAAATGGTCTCCAAAATGATTAATTTATCAACATGTATTCAGTTTCTGAAAAACATATCCACCTGTATTCTCTATGGCTAAGGACACAAGGCACACAAGATAAAACCAAACCCAACCCACAAGTCTGCTAAGAAGTTTTAGCTCCTCCCTCTCTCTTCTAACTGTTCTCATCCCCAAAAGACACCCAGACTCTAGGATACTGCCTGGACAGCAATTCCAAGTGGACAGGCTCACTTGCTGTAAGACAGCCTCCTTTCTCTCTTCTTCCCTTTATCTTTAAAATATTCATGAATGTGCTATTCAAAACAAATATTCCATTCACCATAACTTAAAAGCTATCAGAGAGCAGAGTTTGATGATTATTCATAAGAAGTCATTCCCAGCTATAAATAAGGTTGTTAAAACTGCACTTACCAAGTGGATATCATATAACCCTCGTTAATAGAACAAACTCTCCACCCGGAAGCACCTGTTCTCTTGATTTCTCGGTCCCAGTCTGAGTATGTTTCAAAGAATGGGGTTTTTTGGTTGCTGCCACCAACAGCTCCACTGCCGCCTCCTGAGGGTATTCCGTTAATTTTAGTGGCTACAAGAAAAAAGCAATATTGTTAGTTTTGTTTCAATGGTCACATTTCACATTTCGTCCCACATTCCCCCTTCTCTCTTGGCACCTCCTTAGTCAGGAACACACTTGGACGGGACATTTCCTCCTTGTGAGTCTTTCAAGTCTCTCTGAGATGTTCCTACTGTTCCCAGAAGTCCTGAGAAAGAGGTGGCCCTCCTCTTGTCAGAAGAATTCACTTTGTTTTATCCTTATCTAACTCTTTCCTGACTCCTTCAGCATCACTTAGGTTCTCTGTCCTTCTATTTGGCTCTATCTCTTCTGCCTTCAAACACAAACAGGTCACCTGGACTTTGAAAAGACTTTCATTTGACCAAACCACTACTACTCCACCTATTAATTTGACCAAACTACACCACTACTCCATGCTATACATTTTTTCTTCTTCTGTTACTAACCACCTTCCCAAATGATGAACAATGCCTACTGACCAGATTTTCTCCTTTTCAATGGTCCTCTATCTCTACTATTCCACAGAAACCACTCACGAGCCTTGCTCATCCCCCTGCCCTAAACTGTGGGGCAAATTCAAGTCATGCTTATTTTTTCCACACGTTTTGCCGGAAACAATGAATGCTTCCAATCATCTGTTCTTGACCAAATCTTTCATCCTTTTAATACTGATACCTCAACTCTCTTCTATGGCTTACTATAAAATTCTTGGTCTCATAACAGTCCATTTTCCTTTGAAAAGTTCACAAGGTTTCCTTATACTCCACCAGAGGGCCACTTTTATCTGGGGATTTCAGCCTGAATATCCTTAGCAAGAAACCCTCTCTCGTCAAGGAAGGCTGCTATCCTCTGGGACATGCGCACAACCTCAGGAAGGCCTGCAGAATGACCCAAGGGAAGGAGAGCATCTCAGCAGTCAGTGTGATCTACCCTGGCAATCTGGAGAGACAGATGGCACAATCTTTCCTGGTCCTGTGTCTCACAGCTGCAGGCTGCAACGGTGGCAAGAGTCCCGCCTGACATCCCTGACATGATGTTCTCCAGCACTCAAATCAGCCTGCAGCCTGCCATGGGACACAATTCCCCAAAATCATGCATTCATGATGCTATACCCTTGTCCCAAACTTCCCCTTATGCTCATTTTCCAACTTCCTCAAGCAAACCTAAATGGTTTTGCTTAAAAAGCCCTTAGATAATCAACCTGACCTTTCATTATGGCCTAACCCCCATTCTCCCCTGAAGCCAAGGAAATCCCTTCATTATCCCATGAACATGCCATGCCCATTTCTGTGGACCATTTATTAGCACCTAGTACAGCACAGTTTTTTTCTGAGAACCTCCAAGGTGCTAAGGCCTGAAAACTTAAAAATGGGTAAGGTTTTATCTCTATTTTCAAAGTGCCAACAAGACAGTGGCAGGTAAGTGCCAACAAGACAGTGGCAGGTAAGTGAGCTGGATGTACAAGCATACTGAGAGCACAGAGGATGACAATCCTAACGCTCACTGGAGATGAAGGCCTCAGGACCTGACTACATTTGAACAGAGACTTGGGGAGTGAGCCAAATGTTGCTAGATGGCTGGTAAAAAGGAGGTAGGCATGCTGGGCAAAGCAGAACATAAAAAACATGGTATAATTGTATTAAAATCAAGTAATGAAATACAGCTAGAGCACTGGGGTGGTGGAAGAGAGGCTGGAAAATTAGATGGGGCCAAGACTCTTGGTGTGCGCTTCCCCAAAGAGTAGCCATTAGCCACATGTGCTATTTAAGTTGAAACAAAACAAAACAAAATAAAATAATGCAGGTCCTCAGTTGTACCAGCCATACTTCCAGTGCTCAACAGGCACACGTGGCTAGTGGCTCCTATGCTGGACAATGCAGATGAGAGAACACTGCCCTCCCTGGGTCTCATGCACCATGCTAGGAATTTTGAATTTTATACTTCAAGTGGCATCAGAATTACCCAGTGATTCTGATTTCAGTAGAGCTTGTTTAATATGAAAATGCTAAAGCCAAGCACATATCCTGGAGTGCCACTCCATCTCAGATCCTTCTCCAGAGTAACTACAACCAGAAAGTATGCTGAGGAACCTGGGAACTGTAATCTCTATAGGATGCAGAATTCCCAGGCAACTGTGACTTTATACACAGTGTTCCAGAGCACCAAAACCCACAGAAAGCTATTCAACATTAGAAAATGTAAGTAGTTCATCATATCATCAAATTGAAGGGGAAAAAAAAAACCCCATATGATCAGTTCCGAGTGTAGAAAACATTTGATCAAGTTCAATACCTACTCACAATTTTAAAAAACAAACTTCAGGAATTTGGGAATAAAAGGGAAAGTCCTACTTGATAAAGGGTAATTACCAAAAACACACAGTAAATATCTTCATCAAAATCCGGAACAGAAATAATGCCTGCTATCCTGATTACATTCAACATTGTACCAAAGGTCCTTGCCACACAATGAGACAACTACCACCAAAAAAGAAGTATAAAGAGCACATTCTCAATTTTTAAAGAGCTATGAAAATAGTTTGACAGGATACTCTCAGCTAGGAGTCTAGAACTGAGTACTTTTGAATGTTTTGAAGTTACTTTATTAATAAACTAGGCTGAGAACATATAGTTTATGAGATTGTTTCTCTGGCAAGATTCAGTCTCAGTATCTAACTACAAAAAAGACAAATTTTCTGAATATCGGGTGAGAAAAGCTATAGGATATTGAACTATTTACTATTGTACTGGTTTTGGTTGTTGAAAACCTGTCCATTTCCCAACAAGTAGGACTGTTATATGTTCTACATTTTCTTCTGTGAGAACTTATTAGAGAATGTGTAGCAGATACTAATCTGGAATTAAGGAGTCTGGAAATTCTAATGCTATCCAGAAAGTCCCAAAGCCCTAATGCCTGTGGCCTGCTCTACAAGTGGATTACTAATGGGTGCAGCAACAGACTGGCAAAACAGTCATCTCAGGAAGATCCAGCGCCTCTGAGAGTTAGTTACCTACTTTAGGACAGCTCCTCAGCCAACTGAAAGTGAAAACTAGATAGTGAGCATTCCTGATCTTGGCTTTTTTTAAAGTTATTTATCTGAGAGTGAGCAAGAGTGAGACAAATGCACAGATTGGGGGCGGGTGGGAAGGGCAGTGGGAGAGGGAGAGAGAGAATCCTCAAGCACGACTTCTGATAAGGGCAGAGCCCAACATGGGTCTCCATCCCAGGACACTGAGATCATGACCTGAACTAAAATCAAGAGTTGCATGCACTCAACCAACCAGTCACCCAGGTGCCCCTCCTTGGCTATCTTCCCTGACAGTTTAAAAGTCTAATCCCATGCTGTGCTGAAATTAACTAGTCCCATCTATATTTAGAATGGTCTCAAGCAACAGCAAAGACAATAAAAGTGGTTAACATACCAGAAGAAGCCTATCGCCTTTATGATACTGCTGAAATCAGAAGTCATAAAGGATGACAAGGGTAAAAAGAGAGCTGTGATATTAAGTGCAACAGGTTGAGTCAATGGCTGTAACCAGGAGATCTGTTGGGCCTGGGGCAGACCTGGGATGGCTGCGTTTTAAAAGATCCTCCAGGAATTCTGATACAGGAAGTTGGTTGGGAGCCACTAGTATTCAAGAGACAGAAGGATCAATCACAACCATGTATAGCTACACTGAGAAACTTAAAAGAACTGACAGGCAACAAACTTTAAAAATTTCTAGTTTCAAATGGACTATGTTCTCTGTAAGTGGTTTTCAAATAAGCATTTAATGGAAAATCTAATACCAAGGCCTATGTTAATAAAAAGGATAAAATAACAAAATAAACCACTGAGAATGTACATTTTCTGCTGTGGGTCTACTACATGATACCTTGAGATTACGCCATAGCATTTGAAAGTTCGATGTCTGCCATGGAGTAGAGCTGCTAACACTGCGGCTGCAGGTAACTTTATGAAGTTTTCTTTCTTTTTTTTTTTTTTTGGTGGGGGGGGCAGAGGGAGAGAGAATCTTAAATAGATCCATGCCCAGGACAGAGCCCGATGTGAGGCTCGATCTCACCATGCTGAGATCATGACTAGAGCTGAAATCAAGAGCTGGACTGAGCTTAACCGACTGAGGTGCCCAGGTGCCCCAACTTCATGAGGTTTTCAATTCTTCAGACTGGAGGCGTAATCTGAATCTTTGATTTTTATCACAAAGATGAAGCTGTACTTTTGGGACATTATTTGCCTGATAATAACCTGACCAATGAAAGCAGAGTCCTTGTGGTTTCTTCCAAATTAAAGAAGAAAAGGGCAGCCCCGGTGGCGCAGGGGTTTAGCGCCGCCTGCAGCCCGGGATGTGATCCTGGAGACCCGGGATTGAGTCCCATAATCGGGCTTCCTGCGTGGAGCCTGCTTCTCCCTCTGCCTGTGTCTCTGCCTCTCTCCTCGCTCTCTCTGAATGAATGAATAAATAAATCTTAAAAAAAATTTAAAAAAAAATTAAAGAAGAAAAAAACCAGAACCTCTGTGCTTATCTGTGCCAGTACCTCCCACATTGTTCCTGGGGGAGGTATGCCTCGTTGCTTTACTTTGGGATCCTCGCAGAAGTACCTGGATGAGTGGTGAGCTATGCAGAGAAGGTGTTTTCACTCAAGGGATTATGAACTTGGAAGAAAACCTCTGAGTGCCAAAGGCCATCTAAAAGAGTCTTTCCTTAGATAACTGCAGGGGACATCTTCTAACTTCAGATCTTATTTGTGGAAACAGCTTTGTCACCTACCTGCCTGCAAAAAGGACTTCTTTATTCTTTAATCCAGCCAATGAATCAAGGTGGCATCCAGAAGTTCAAGAGTGGATTATTGGGCATCTTTCACTCACAAATTAATGAATTCTGACTGCAGTGTGTGGAAATTTCAGGCTTCTTTTGATCTTAAGGATGCAGTTTATGCTTCTGCAACAGCACGGAAGGATATTAAAGGGTGTTACCCTAGAAGGAATCTTAACTCTGGCCAAGTTTTAGGTTTATGAAGTACCTGTCAAAGGAGGAAGTGAGTGAAGGATGTAATGAAAAAAGTGTTCCTGAATATTTTAAGTATTAATTACCAAATTTTATTAACAAGCTATATATAAGAAGACACAGAACTGACTGATGTAAATAAGAAAACCCAGTAGTAGAAGAGCAATGTGTTGAATAACTATTTAAAGTATTATTAACCCAGAGATGCCCACAAGGAATGGATGAAGAAAACTGAAAAGTAACTGGAGCAGGCATCAGGTTCCCAGACACATAATGGAGTTTACTGCATTCACTGAGCTCAAGTCATTATGTTACTTCAGAAATCATGGATCTATATTGTGGACAGAATCATTTCTATTAGAAAAAAATAGCATCAGGAATTGATCTGTATCATAAACAAATTTAAGTGGGACTCAAAAGACTCTTTCTTATAACTCCTGGACCTCCCGGAATTTTCATTTCAGCTACTCTCTTGCAAGTGTGGGTGAGGATCTTATTGAAAATAACCTTGATGATCATGGTCTGTAGCCTTATGATAGTCCAAAGAAATATTCACCTAATGAGTAGTGGAGGATCTACAACACTTTTATGTTTAGACAATAAGTGAATTTTATAATTTATATTAAGAAATAAACTTAAAAAGTTAATTTTATTTTGCTCAAGCATAAGTTACAATTGGTTACATTTTGATAGTTAACAAATGTTTTATTATCCAATTTCTATAAATACAGCACATATGATAAAAGCTACTCTTCCTGCAAAGCATGACTTTCACATACCATCTCTATGGTGTTTACAAGTATCTTTTAAAGTAGTGAAAATATACTTATACCACGTGCACCTACAGATACTCCGTACTGTTCCTATATTTTAATGTATTTACAATATAGTGATACTCAAATATGCTTTTATTATATAGATTATTTAAATTACCATAATATGTTTTGAGGTAATAAAATGAAAGACCAGTACAATTAATTTGTAAGATCCCTGTCCAGACTATGCTGGGGTGAACTGATCTTTCACTGTAAATATGTAATTGATTTATTCTTCTTCCTTAATAGTGGGAGAACTCATGTCTCAGTAGGTAGAGTTAATGTGTGGCCCCTAATTTCCAAGGGGTTAATATGAAACATGTTTTTCCTCTATCCTTTTATTTTTTTAAATGGCTGATTAAAATTACATTTGCATATAAGAAATATACAGAATTACACGATCATCTGGAATTTTCCTTGGTGATGTCAACACTGAGTAATTACATACTCAGCAAGTATATGAACAATACTATTTTACTTTTACGAAAACTGCTTAGAATATACTTGTCCTTAAGACAAATGGCTCCTCTTCCTTTTTGTCAATCTAATTCAGAAACATAAAGTCAATATTTTGATGAGGTCAATCAATGATGATCTCTCCACTAAAAAGTTTAATCACTTTAGCTTTTGCATGAAATCACACTATGCCAGAAAAGATCATGCATCTCAAATATCTTTTAATTTTCTGCTTGTTTTCTTAAAAGATAACATCACTTCAACTCAAGCTATCAATTAAAGTGGGTTCGAGAAGGGGGAATCTTTCTTCACCATAAAAAATAAAAGCCAGAGACTGTGGTTTAGTAAAAGACCTGACATGATTCTTATAAGCCTATGTTTATAGCTGCTTACAGATTCTTCCTCGTCACTTTCTGAGAAATGATCTAAGAAATATTGTCTCTTTTAGTATATAGTGCTTTCTTCTTTAGCAGTTATAAAGCTAGTAATTCTACCATTGTTAAAACTCATATACTTGGAAGCCTCTGATAAACATAAAACTTATACAATGTAAAGTTAATCACAATATTTAATATTTTCATATTTACCTGAATTGTGGTATTTTTTCCCAACATATTCAAATGCAAAGAGTAGCTGGAGGTCTGTTGGCTGGGAATAATGAGCTATTGCAAGGCATACCTAGGAAAAATTCTACATTTAGAATTTGATTTTAACACACTTATTTAAATGAAATGTACAATAAGGCCTTGATTATTGGGACCATCATCTTGGGTGGGGCAGTGATCACAGATACTTATTTACATGTTTTTTTTCTGTTGACCCTAGACTGTGAAAGAGCTCCTTAAGGCCAGGTTTCTCATTCAGTGTTGGGCCCCCAGGACACTGTTTATAAGCTTTTGTGAGTACATGGTAAGTATTCAGTAAGTGTTTGCTGAGTTGAATTTTAACAGCAAAGTAATTTTATTCAAATAAAGAAACTTGAAACCTAAAGACGCATTCTCCTAAAAGGCAGCAATATATATATATATATAGAAGAAATATAAAGGATTAAAAAGTTTCATTTTTGGTGGACTATAATGATTTAATACAGGAATCTGGAAGGCTTAATGTAAGGTATGAAATTTTAACATTCATACCTCATGTATTAAAAAAAAATCTAGCCTAATAGAAAAGCTATTATCACAAAAAATGAAAATTAGCAACAAACCCAAAATATAGGATGGCTCAAAGAGGTACAAACACACACACACACACACACACAAACTGCATTTAAGAAAATGGTTTGAGACTATGTCTAGGGTGGAGAAAGCATGGGCCTCTCAATCGAACAGATCAGGGCTTGAATCCTAGGGTCTACCAAACACTTGCCCTGTAAGTGGTATGAAATCAGTTCATCTCTCGGAGTCTCAGTGTATGCAACTTTAAAATGAAGAGAATACCTATGGCTACATTAAGGACTAATAATCTTAATGCACACCTGGCCTCTGCAAAACCTCCACACATGGAAATATGGTTAATATTACTCCCAACTGCTGCTGGAGGGAAGGAAGCAGACAGTGCTCTATGTTTACAATGCCCTGGACTAGACTTCTGCAGAAAACACTCTTAAATGATCAGAGCAGAAAGAAGGAATTTAAGACATATGCAAGGAGAGAAGAGAAGATCTTCCTTAAAAACATTAAAAAGCAGTGAGCCACAGCGATATACTTTTGACAGTGAGTGAGCAGAAAAAGTTTAGTTAATGATTAGTCCATGTCAATTAGTGGTGTTTGAGATGGGTTAATGCAAATCCTACCTAATAGGTAACTATGTGTCAAGTTCTTGTTTAAAAGATATTTTAAAAGTCTTTTATAGAATAAATGTTTCCTGTTTTACTAAATTAGAATATACATACAAATAAGAGGACAGAGGTTATCACTGGTTTTAGATTTGACTAAAAATAATAACCAAAGGTTTTTGAAACTTTTATATAATACCTCAATTTTCTTGATGACTACAAGGAGAGCTTTCTAAGACAGTCTCACCTATGCAATTAGGACCCAGTAATCTACATTCCTATCCCTAATCTGTCCAACAGTCTTCCTTAAGGAGATGCTTCCAGCAGCAAAACTACTGAAATCTGTACCTTGAAGAAGTCCTTGACCACTTTCTGTTCCTTTAGGCACTATATTTAGTTTATAAACTTTGTTGTACTTTTCTCAAGATTATCTTTCATTTTTGTTCCATTTCTCTACACTGCCACAGCCATATTCTTTTTTTTTTTTTTCACAGCCATATTCTTAGGCCATACTCACCTTTTGGCATCTCTGTGGGCCTCCCTACATTCTGCAAAACAAAATTCACAATGCCTAAGGATTCCCTTCTGAAGATGAAATTTGGACCAATAACTTTGCTTACGAGGTAAGCTCCTGGCTTTCTGAGATACCTACCTAATAAAAGAAATCTCATTCCCGATTCTTCATCAAACTGGCTCTCCTTTACCGGACATCCCTTTCTTTCCCAATATTCCCTCAGTGGTCTTCTGTCGGAGAACAACATACTTGCACATACTGTGCTTGCCTTACATCCGGCCACCTCCTCTGCCACACTCTGCCTGGGAAATTCTCCACTACTCAGCCAACTACACTGTCACTGAAACTACCACCTCTGTTCAACTCCAATCTCTTCACAGGCCTTCCCTGACCAAGCCGATTTTACAGTATTAACTGTAGAAACCCTTCTGTTCTCTGTGAATAACAACCACTCTGATATAAAGTGTCTCTTCAGTTAGCTGTGCTTGTATAGCTGAATGCATTTGAGAGTATTCATGAAATAGTATGGAGTGTAGATAAGAAGGGCATAGGGATTCTTCGTTTTACTTCCACCATTAAATGCAATCCCTCAAGGGTAGATGCTGCCTCTGTCATTCATTTGACAGATACTTCCTGCGCATCTAACTGTGTCCAGAGCCTGGGGCTACAGCAATGAACAACATAGATGCAGATCCCCGGCCTCACGCCTCACGAAGCTTACATTCTAGGAGCGAAGACAGATAAAAGATAAAAAAGAACAACTACAGTAAGGGAGCTCATTAAAGGAAAAAAAATGTCCAGCAGGGAAGGGATATGAAGTGTTATGGTGAGACGAGAAGGGAGGAGGTTAATAATTTAGAGAAGGAGAGAGACCAAGAAAAAACTCTCTGTGCAGGGTGAAGACCTGAAGACTTCTGCATTTTTGCTCTCCTCAGTAGCTTTCTGAAGGTGCTCTGTGCACCACAGCAGCTGCACTAAAGATACTAGTTGACAAAATTAACATAGTAAGGAAAATGCTCTAAGCCAATGGAATGAGCATATAACATTTCCAAAGCAGCCACAGGCCTAGTTTACACAAAAGAAATTCATAGATCATTGATTATGTATGGAGTATGTTGTTTACCGCTACAAAGCAAAAAACAAAGTTTATCTGGTAGGCAAAACCAATGTAGCCTATTTCTAAAAAGTCCTTAAGAACAGTACACATCACATTTATAAAGGTTAGAAAACAGATCAGTATATCTAATAGCATCTCCATTGCAAGAAGACTATAAGCAATCTTGTGAAACCTAAATGGTTTAATCACCAGCACAACAGCTGATTAGAGTGGGGGCGGGGGACACAGAACTTGAACTAAAGCTGGCGCTGCGTAGTGTAATTAGAAGTGTGGACCACTTAGTTCTAAGTAACTTAAGGGGCGTCTTTAGGAACCCAGATAAAGGCACATACTGCTTACGCTATCTGGGTTACATCCATTCTGTTATGTAGGACATTTTGAGAAGGAAAGCCAAGAATCCTCTCCCTCAAGCTTTTCCATACACACTCTTTAAAAAGCTTATGTCCAAAAAAAAAAAAAAAAAAAAAAAAAAAAGCTTATGTCCACATTCTTAGCTTCCATCACTAAGAGCTTGAAAGATTTTAAAAAGTAGGTCTCATTTTCATGTAAAATTATTCTAATTTTGCAATGTACTCCATAAACATTAAAATTTTTAGAAAAACTCTACATCTTTAAAAACTGCTTCTGAAAATAGTTCATCTGCCCTGGCTATCAAGGGAATGAAGAACATCTTGGTACTAAAGACATTAAGTTATGGTAAATAATTAATTTACTGGAGGAAGAAAAGTAAACACTTCTGAAATGATTTTTGGACCAAGACTGATCTTGTGGACAGAAGCCAGAAGTACCCACAGTTGGTTTCTCTTCTAAGACCAGCTGGGGGCGCAGCACTGGAGAAGCTCTAACCTCAAGTTCCAGCACACTGGCAAACAAAACTGGTTTCCTATATTTTTGTGGTTTGAAAGCCACCAAGGAGTAGTCTCAGATTCAAGGCAAAAAAAAAAAAAAAAAAAAAGAATTTAAGGAAAAGCCAATTTATTCTTTAAATAGATGGGTTGAATTTTCACTTTTAGAAAGTACACCTGACAAGTGGTTTACACTTAATCTATAAAGTGGAGACTAAGGGCATACATTTTACTTACCATATATACACACATATATATATTTTATAAGTGGTAAACCATTAAAGAATATTTTTTTTGCCCCTTAGTTTTGAACAGAGTTCTTCAAAAGGAAAGGGAAGCTCCAAAATGCTTTGAGGCTAGACATCCAATTCTGCAAGATCAAATTCCTTTTTGTTTTATACAGATCTGTCCCAAACATCCTTATTTACTTGTGACAGACCAAGGATATGCAGGATGAATGCTAAGCATACTGCCATCTAATCTTGTCCTAACACAATTTAGGCAACACCAACTAGTACCAGAAGGCTATAGAGTAATATTTAACAAAATGTGAACAAATTTAGCATTTCAAGAATTCATACTTTAAACAGAAATATGAATGCTTTTGGTATTTCAAAGCTAGTCAGTTTTTACCCACCAGAGAACTCTGAATGGGCATCTGGTCATTTTAAAACAACTTATAAAATCAGAGCATTTCCAGAGAAAATTTAGCAAAGTTTCCGGGAGGTAAAATCAAGCTGTAACTTACCAACTGTTACCTAATTTTAGATGAAAACTTTCACTTGAAATAAAAGAATATGCTAGAATTCTTGTTTTTAACTCACGAAGCCAGTAAACTTTGGCAGCACACAGGCCTTAACCTCTGTGTCTGAAACGTTAAATCAAGGGAAAAAAATTCTCTATTTAGGGCAGCCTGGGTGGCTCAGTGGTTTAGCACCACCTTCAGCCCAGGGTGTGATCCTGGAGACCCGGGATCGAGTCCCATGTCAGGCTCCCTGCATGGAGCCTGCTTCTTGCTCTGCCTGTGTCTCTGCCTCTCTCTCTCTCTCTCTTTCTCTCTCTCTCTCTGTCTCATGAATAAATAAATAAAATCTTAAAAAAAATTCTCTATTTATATTCTTATTGCCTTTCATTTTCTTTCCTGCACCTGCCCCTCCCTGCAACTTGACTGTACAAAAGATTAAAAAAAGCATTTCTTTCAAGCCTGAGGTTACATGCTTTCAATGTTTTAAGCAGAGGGGAAAAGACTTTTGTCAGAAGTCTGGTCCTGGGAAAGGGCATAACCAGTTGGACGAGGCTGTTTCCTGCAGACAGTTCCATGTGGCCCCCTTCATCACTTACCAGCAGACAACAGACAAGGGCAATCCTGAATTTCCAGGGCACTTACCTGTTTCATTCATTTGGCAGCTAATCACTTATGTGGAAACATCTTTTATGTCACTACTTCGTACCACTATTCAATTTTCATTTGTTCATGCTCTAGCTTCTCAACAAGCACATTTGCCTCACACATTAAAGATGACCAGCAGGTCAAGAATGAAGCCAAGTAATGATGGTTTCCAGTGACTGAAATAGAGTCCTCCAAGAAATATAATTGAGAGTGGGAGAGGGAAACTTTCTGAAAGAATATTGGGCCACTGTACCAATTTCTTACTTAAAAAAAAAAAAAAATCCTGTCCTAACTAAATCTCTTAAGTTCTATGGTATCCCTATTCTTGAAATGCTATACATCCTGAAAGTAAGATTTTCATTTGCAGATTCCTGATGCTCTGACTGATTAAATTACAAGTACATATTTAAGCTCAAAAAAGTAGCTCAGCTAAAATGTTTTTATATAGCCTACTATCTAATTAGTCCTCAAGTCTTTCTATATAAGCATAAGCATCTCAAATTAGTAAAATGCCAAAATCACAAACTGCAGAACTGAACAGATGAAAAGGGCCTTAAAAGCTACCTAGCTGAATTTTCAATAACGCAGCATGCCAAAAGAGGGCCTTACAGACTCTACCTGAAAACTTTTAGCCACAGAGCCCACCATTACTCTGCTAGATAATCTAGTTCCAGAGGTCCAGCATATTCAAATATTCATCTTATGCTTACCCTCCTGTGAGGAAACTGTTGATTCTAAGTTCTAAAAATAAATATACAATGTCCTCACCAAACTGTATGAAAACAGCTGCCTTAAGAATTTTTTGATGGCCTTATTTTGATATAAACAGAAAATTCACTGCATTAAGTCTAACTATGGAAACCAAAGGCACCCATTTTGGGGTGGTGCAAAAGCTGACTTATAGAATCAGAGCATTTCCACTGAGAAGAAGGTTCCACTTCACTAAGAAACTGTTTCTTTATTCCCAATGTGTGGGAGTTGGCTTCCCCTGGAAAGTGTTATATTCTCTGCATTTGCTGCATCATAGACTAGACCAGTAGGGCATTCGGTTAAGTGGCTTCACTCCTTTGCCAAAGCCAAAATGTGGGATGAAGGAAGTGGGAATTTCTACCATGAATCTTACTCCACTAGCAGGCAATAAACATTCCCCAGAAAGCAGGAGAAAAACAAAGCCAATTAAAAAGTCCCTAGGCTTTTAGCTATTCTTGTGGAATAGCACTCAAATTAATTCACTAAAGTTTTTTTTAAGGAGTAATAATTATTAGGCTTCTCCCATAACTATACCTTTACCTAACCCTTAAATCTAGCTAGTTCGTTGATGAGGTTCTGAAGTATTTTCTAAAGTTCTAAACAAGAAAGAAACGGTAACGGTCTAAATGCAAAAGATACTAATTTCCACATCACAGTTTCTAGTATTGTAGGAGCTGATAAAAAGAAAAAAAAAAAAACCTACATAGAATACTTTAAAGCAGGGATGCCTAGGTGGCTCAGTGGTTGAGCTCTGCCTTCGGCTCAGAGTGTGAACCCAGGGTCCTGGGATCAATTTCCGCATTGGGCTCCCCAGAGGGAGCATGCTTTTCCCTCTGCCTATGTCTCTGCCCCTCTCTCTGTGTCTCCCATGATTAACAAATAAAATCTTAAAAAAATATATTTTAAAGCAGCCACAAATCATCCAAGGAAATAGTTCTATTAACATTTTTGGCTTTGACTTAAGGAGATACCTGATAACCTCCCCTACCCGAAAAAAAAAAAAAAAAATCTGAGCAACTGAGAAAAGAGACCTTCCATACAGAACTGATATTGGTAAATATAGTGCAAAACCCAAAACTTGATATAATAGTATTACCTTTTTGGCACTTTCAGGACCTGATTCATCAAAGCGAAATCTGACAATTCTGAAATCTTTACAGTAAATAATTAACTCTGTTGGATTAAATTTCAGTTTCTGGTTGGGACCGAGGACTTTCTGCTTCCTCTTGTGGTCATTTACTATAAATGAAAAAAATAAAGAAAAAAATGTGTAAAAATTCTTTTCTGTTACTCACTCTTTAGTATACTTTAATAAATTATTACTGAAAATAATTAGAAGGTTACCCACCACTGAGCACTGCTTCTCTGGAATCTTTCATATTTGTCTACAATTTCTAGAACTTTGGGGGATTGGTTTTAAAATTTTGCTTTAGACTGTATTTTTTTTTAATTTTTTTTAAATTTTTATTTATTTATGATAGTCACAGAGAGAGAGAGAGGCAGAGACACAGGCAGAGGGAGAAGCAGGCTCCATGAACCGGGAGCCCGATGTGGGATTCGATCCCGGGTCTCCAGGATCGCGCCCTGGGCCAAAGGGAGGCGCCAAACCGCTGCGCCACCCAGGGATCCCTAGACTGTATTTTAAATGACCTTTGCACAAACCAACCACCATCTAGGCACATTTAAGCTTAAAATTTCAATTAAAAAGAGGAAAAATACTTAGAAAACATAAAAAGCTAAATATGCTATATTTCCATTTAGAAATAATTTATTGAGTTCAGGGCACCTGCATGGCTAATTGAGCCAACTGGGCTGAGCATCTGACTCTTGATTTCGGCTCAGGTCATGATTTCAGGGTCACAGAATTGAGCCTTGCACTGAGCTCTGCACTCAACAGGAAATCTGCTTGAGATTCTCTCTCTCCCTCTCCCGCTCCTCCTTGCTCACATTTGCTCTCCCTCTCTCTCTAAAATAAATAAATAAATCTTTAAAAAAATAATTTATTGACTTCTCTTTCATTAATATTCTTGGGACTCAAAAAAGGGGAAAACATAAACCTACAGAAATAAAATTCCAGCCCAAATATGTGAGAGGTATGATTCTTTATGCAATACTTCCTGAAGAGAATCAGCTTTTATGGACTGAGTAAAGAATACTACATACCTGTGACAATTTGCTCAATACATGTTAAAGGGACATCATGCTCACCAAGAAGAAGGTTTCTGTAATGGAATCTCTGAAATAAAAATTATGTTCATGTTAAGTCTTTCCCCAACAACTTTAAATGGTAGTAACAGCCTTACTTTTACATGTGATAAGAAACTGTGATGGTTATGTAAAAAGATCAAAAAGCTTTTTGTCTGTAGAACTATGAGAGTTCTAAAGAGGGAGTATCTTAGAACACATTCCAGTCATGAAAAGAAGAAAGAAACACATGCTGTGTTCATACTCTTTTCACCTTTCTCTCCATACTTTTATATATGAAATGAAGTTGTGTACGATAATACCATTATAATATCCATGATACGTAACATTATCAGTCACTTCATAGGTAACCATTTGCACGTCTAGTTCTGGTTGAATCCATCATAAAAAAACAAATGGAGAAAATAAAGAAAAAGACTCAAGTCATCAGATTTTAAGGGATAAAATAGTGGCTTGATTTTACAAAGGAGACTTTAGAAAATCACTCCTTAGAAAGTAATTTTTAGAGCAGAAATTCTACTAGAAATATAAATCTTCAGGCCAACTATAGCTCGTTTTTGTTTTTTTTTTTTAAATCTGTCAACAAACACTTTATACCAATTTTTAAACTCAGAACATAGTTGACACTATTAACCTGCTGTCAGAAGAGCACTGGTTTGTGTTCCCTGCCACTGGTATAGGATGTAAGGTATTTTAAATACATACATCTCATTTAAATTCTGTGCCCCAAATAAAAATGAAGCTAAAAACAAAGGGAAAAACCCAAGTCTACAGCCTAGTATGTCTACATACTAAATAGCTGTAAATGCCTTTAGTCTCAATATACCTACCAAAGTTTGCAATAAACACACAAATATACAGTAAATATTTTGGCAAACTAATGAATGATTATATAAAATATACTTATCCAGAGTCAGACACTTCAGTCAAAAGTTTACAACTGATATTAGAGAACAATTCCTATTATAAATAAAAGTCTAAAAAAAAAATAAAAGTCTAGGGGATAAAAGTATATAATACTTTACAAATCAAAACAGAAGAGCCAAGCAAAAGCCCAGAATTTTTAAATTAATCAAATGAAGACCTGAACTTTTAAAAACCAAAATTAAATGGAACTATTTTCCAGTGAGACCATAAAATGGCAAGAGGGTTATTACAGAAAAATTTCATTAATATTTTTCTTTATTCTAATTATACTAGAAATTTGGGATTTCAAACTAAATTTGATGTTTCGGAAAAGTGACTAATTAGTTAAAAATACTATGAAATCTAGAAAATGTGCTGCCTTTATATAATTATTTGCTAAATAATTAAACTTTTCTCTTTAGGACTAGCAAAATAAAAAAAAAGCACTTTAAAAGATGTGGAAGAAAGAAAAATACTAACTCCATTACTGAAAGGATATCTACACAATAATCACAGGAAATAAATAAGCAAGGTGACTCAACCATCTCACTAATTCTACTCCTTGAGTCTCAACATCCTCCTTACACTTTATTTTGAATTTTAACATAATACATTCCCAACACTGTTAATCACATAATGACTTTATAATTTTCCATACCTGTGCTTTATGTAATTATATGTACTGCTTAGAGTCAAATCCTTGATACAAATAAACAGCACACAAATAACACACACCTGTAATGGCATCGGGTCATCCGTAATAAAGGAAATTTTGAAGTTACTGCAGATCAGCTTTCCCCACAGGTCGTACTGACTTGTGTCCGTTGCAATGCATTTTCTCACAAAACTGACTTCATTTACGACAATTTCTCCTTTTCAAAAAGAAAAATATTGTATGAGCTACAACCATACCATAAAATATCTACAGTCACTGTGTGGCCTATGAGGACTGCTTCATGATGATGAGGGCTCACCAGGTGCCAGGCACCAGAGTGCTTTCATCCTCATAACAGCAGCATTAACAGTGAGGCACTGCCTGCCACGTGTAAGATATAGAAACTGAAGCAAGAAGAACTCAGGGATCTGAGACAGTTCAACCAGAAAGGCTGATACCCAATCTGCATTCTTTAGTACTATGTGATACTGCCCTCATTATCTTTTATTGAAAGGCATTCTGGAGAAGAAATAAATATACTCTCTTCTTCAGAGTACTACTTAACGGAATATTTGTATTTTATTAACAGGTGACTTTACACCCCAAACCAATGTCGAATCCTTTACTAAGGGATGAGAAAGAGAGTTTGGGTTTAATCTCAAAATTAACAATACAATCTATTTATTTTTGGTAAATAGAGTTCAGGATGGCAAGCTAGGAAGACACTAGACTCATCTCCTCTCATGGATATACCGAGTCTATACCTACATATGGACAATTTCCTCTTAAAAAAAAAAACAACCCTAAAGGCTAGCTGAGTGATGATTACACATTGGCCAAATGAGAACTAAACCATATACAAGCAGGTAGGAGAGACTGGGACATAATCTCACTATAAACTCCATCCCTGTATGGTCACCCACAACCAGGATGGAACACAAAACCTAGAGGTTCTCCCTGAGGAGGCAAAGGGTTCAAATGTTACATTAGGCATCCCAAGTTTTAACATACACCTTTAGAGACAAGCCCTCAAAACATGTAACTCTGAAAACCAATGAGGCTTGCATCTCAAGACCCATAAGACCATAGAGATTCAAGAAATTGCTCTTAAAAGGCTCAGACACTTGGACTCACATACCTGGGGGCCCAGGTCAGAGGTAAGCTGATGGTGCCCAGACTTAAAGTGAAGGAGGCTCACCTGCTTATATTAAAACACTAGCTTGAAGGGCAGGCGCCTAACACATTTACCTAGGAGGCTGTTGGAATTCTCTCCAGGGAAAAGATTAGTGAGCACCATATCACACATTCCCTTTGCTGTGCTCCAGAGCACTAGCATCTCCCAGTAGGGAGCTTTTACATGTATCTAACTGGTGCCTTGATTTTTTTTGTAGCTGTCAACTGGGAAGCACCTCTTGATTGCCTGGCTCTGGAGGCCAGGGAGCTTGTGTTCTTCGTCCCATGGGACTGTAATAATTGGTGTCATTCAGAAAGGAGCTCATACCTCTGCCTGGAGCCCTGATTTTTGTGATTGCTGCCAGGAGACATATCTACAACACGTGGCTCTGGTAGTCAGTGGGATTTACACATATGAGTCTTACAGGACTGTAACCAACAGAGAAAGAGTTCTTAAACAGCTATCATCCCCAGGGCACAAAAGGAAGCCAACAGACCCAAAAGCTTAGTCTTTCCTGTGAAGAAGGACCATTAGGTAATCAACACAACTGTGGCCTGAGACGCAAGTTTCTAATTACACACACATCTAGGGTTGGGCTGTAATCCTTTCCAGAGACTTCAGAGGGTGGGTGCTATCTTTGTGCTCATGCTCTGCAGCACTCCAGAGCATCAGTGTCTCCTGGAGGAGCACTTTATGTGCCTTTGGTACCCTGGCTTTTATGTCTGGAGTCCTAGTTTTTGCCCAGGGGACATCCCTTGATCATCCCGCTTTAGTGGCCAAAGGGGTTTACATTCTGGGTCCCATGACACTGTGGCAATGAGACAGATGGTTCTTGGCAAGCAACCACCCCTATGGAGCTGCAGAGGCAGGTGACAGGCACCTCCCCCCCACCCCCAAATCTTTCTAAAGGAGGCCCCTCTGCTTGTGCTAGAGCAGGCTTCAGGTTTGGCATACACTTAGTGGTCTACAGACCCGTTCTCAAAGAAAGTGGGCTGTGGAGGTCATCTTGATGTTCTCCCTCTGCCTTTCACCAGCTTGATGGTATTACCCAGAAAAGAGCTTGTACACTTGTCTAGAGCACTGATTCTTGCAACTGCTACTCAGGGTACACCTCCAGCTCTCTGGCTCTTGTGGCCAGTAGGGCTTCCACTTGGGGTCCCACAAGACTGTATATATTTGCATACCTTAAAAAGTTGAGGCCTGAGAGTTTGGTTTCCAGTCAGCTGGAACCTAGGTGCCAAGACACTCCCCTCTGGAACACTGACAGGACTGGCACACGCTAAACTATTGAGAGCTCTTAAAAATATAACAGGCTGACTGACAAGCAGGATGGTTCAAGATTTAACAAAGAGCTGGGGTTGAGCTAGATGATAAGGTTCATCTCCTATACAAGGCCCTTCCTTCAAGACTGAGAGGTAACTGTTCCATTTACTGTATAGAAACCAACACAGAGAGTCAAGCAAAGTGAAGAAACAGAGGAATATGTTTCAAATGAAAGAACAAGATAAAACCTCAGAGAAAAAACATAAACAGAGATAAGCAATTTATCAGATAAAGAGTTCGAACTAATGGTTATAAAGTTGCTCACTGAAAATGAAAACACTAACTCAAAGAGATAAATATACCCCTATATTTATTGCAGCATTATTTACAATAGTCAAGACACTGAAGCAACATAAGTGTCCATCAACAGACAAACGGATAAGGTAAATGTGGTATATGTACACACAACGGAATATCACACAGCCATATAAAGGATGAGATCATACCACCTAAGACAACATGGATGGACCTAAAGGCTATTACAGTAACTAAAATAAGTCAGGTTGAGAAAGACAAATACCATATGATTCCACTCATAAGTGTAATCTAAAATAATAAATAAACAAAAAGTAAAATCAGAACTATAAATACAGAGAGCAAACTGATGATTGCCAGAGGGGAGGAGAGTGTGTAGCTGGGCAAAGGAACAGGAGATACCGATCTCCATGTATGGAATGAGTAACTTACGGGAATAAAAAGCAGAGCATAAGGAATATAGTTGCTGATATTGGAAAAGCAGTGTAAAAGGTCAGATGGTTGCTACACTTGTGGTGAGCAGAGTATACTGTGTAAAGCTGTCAAATGACTAGGTTGTATACCTGAAACTAATGTAACATTATGTGTCAACTGTACTCAGATTTTAAAAATTGCATTTAAATTGAAAACAAAAAAGGATGCTCACTGAATTAGGGAGAAAAATTCATAAACACCATGAGACTTGCAACAAAAAGATGAAGACCTAAGAAGATACTGAACAGAAATTATAGAGCTGTTGAACACAATAACTGAACCAAAACACCCCAGAGGGGTTCAACAATAGACTAGATGAAAAAGAAGAAAGAATCAGTCAATTTCAAGACAGGGAAATAAAACCACCCAAATCAAAATAGCAAAAAGACAAAGGATGAAAAAATGTGAGGGCAGCTTAAAGGACTTACTGGATAATATCAAATGGACTGTTTGCAACATAGGGCTCCCAGGAGAAGAGAAAGGGGGAGAAATCTTATTAGAAGAAATAATATCTGAAAACTTCCCTAACCTGGGGAAGGAAACAGGACATGCAGATCCAGGAAGCTCAGAATTCCCAACAAGGGGAACCCAAAGAAACCCACACCAAGACACATTATAATTAAAAATGTCAAAAGTTAAAGACAAAGAGAGAATATTAAAAGTGGCAAAAGAAAAACAACTTACTACAGACAAGGAAGCCCCATAAGGCTATCAGCAGACCTTTCAGCAGAAACTGTATAGGCCAGGAGAGAGTGACACTATATATTCAAAGTGCTGAAAGAAAAAAAAAACCTTTCAATCAAGAATACTGTACACTGTAAAGTTATCATTCAGAAGTAGAGAAGAAATAAAAAATTTCCCAGACAATCAAAAGCTAAAGAAGTTTATCACCACTAAATTTGCTTTAGAAGAAATGTTAAAGGGACTTTTTTAAGCTGAAAAGAAAGGGCACTAATTAATAACAAGAACACATATGAAAGAATACATCTCACTGGAAAGATAAACATATAGTAAAGGTAGTGCATTAATCACTTCTAAAGATTTTAAGTTTAAAAGACAAAAGTAATAAAATTAACTAAAACTACAACTGCTTACAGGATACAGAATATAAAAACATGTAAAATGTGACATCAAAAACATAAAAGCTGGGTGGGAAGAGTAATAACCTTGAGCTTTACAATGGAATAAAATTTGTTATCAACTTAAAATAGACTGTAACAGAAATAAATTGCTATATGCAAGCTTCATGTTGCAAAACAAAGCAAAAACCTATAGTAAATACAATAAAGATCAAGAGGAAGGAATATAAGCATACCACTAAAGAAAGCCACAAAATTACAAAGTAAGAGAACAACAGAAGGAAAAGAGAGGGACTACAAAAAAAACAATATAAAATGGCAGTAAACACATACCTGTCAATAATTAGTTTAAATGTAAATGGACTAAATGCTCCAATCAAAATATATAGAGTGAGTGAATGGATTAAAAAAAACAAGACCTATCTATATGTTGCCTATAAGAGACTCACTTTAGATGCATGGACACACAGACTGAAAAAGAAGAATGGTACAAGAGATTTTTCATTGCAAATGGAAACCAAAGCTGGAGTAGCTATACTTAGATCAAACAAAACAGACTTTAGAACAAAGACTGTGATAACAAAGAAGTTTGTTACATGATGATAAAAGGGTCAATCCAACAAGAAAATAAAACATTTGTAAACACGCACCCAACACAGGAACACCTAAATACATGAAAGATAATTATTAACAGACCTAAAGGGAGAAATAAGACAGCAATATATTAATAGTTGAGGACTCTATTAATGTCAATAGTTTGAATCAATTACCAACACAAGAAAATTACAGGCCAATTTCCCTAATGAACACAGATGCAAAAATCCTTGATAAAATGCTTGCAAACTAAAAAATTCAATAATATGTTAAAACCATCATACACCATAATCAAGTGAGATTTATTCCAGGGATGCA